GATCGTTCGAGGTATGCGAGATTCGTTTCGATGCGCTTTCCAATATTTTTTTTTTTTTTCAAGACACATATCCGTGACCGTCGTGGTGTTTCGTATATATTCTTTTTCGATTAACTTTCCAATCAACCAGTCTCGACCAGGATTCTCTCCTCCCTTGCAAAACCGTTCGACGTCCAATTCGCCCTGGATCGCGAATTCTCTGGATAATCGATGTCGCCAGTCACCCTCGAAACGTCGCCTCAAATTTCTCGTCGCGTTGCTCTTCGAAAAAAAAAAAAAAAAAAAACGGTAATCGAAAAGTTTTTTGCGCTCCTTTGCTTTATTCTCCTTGATTGCGGCGTACGTCAAAGTGAAAAATCGATTGGCCCAAAAATTCATTGGAAAATTCGATGGAGAATAAAAAATTTATCCTCCATTTTCGTTCGTTCTTCCCGACAAAATTCGAAGTTTCGCGTTCTTTTTTTAGAGATTCACAAATGGAATTATATTGTCAATGATACGCGGCAAGAGTTGTATATATAAAGAGTAGAAAATGAAATGAGCTTCCGAATCAAACTTGCTTGTTTTTTAGAAAACAAGCTTGTCTTGTAAACGGTCGAAAAAGAGGATAAATTCGATAAACTTCTCGTTTCGAACGGTTTCGTTCGGGTCGATGAGAGGATAAAGCGATTTAGCGGTTCGCCACTCGTCGTCCATTTAATTCCATTAATAATTCGATCCCTTTTGTCGTCGTAGCTCTTGCGAGTCGACACTCTTCGCCCCTTCGTGGCTTCGTTCGACTCGAATCGAATCGAATCGAACGAGATTATATCCACCTTCAACGCTCTGCACATTCAGGTATTTAGATATTCCTTTGAGTCTCGACGACAGCTTTCCCATTGTTTACTGCAAGATGCGGCGGTCAAATCGATTTTCAATTCTCTCGAATATTTTTCTCTCATCGAAATCCGATCGAATCGAGCCTTTATTCTTGCTAAATTTCGTTTACATCTTCGATTAACAAGAGCTTTATATTTCTTATATTGAGAAATGTTAAGTCAACTTGTACTTCAAAACGGAGAGATATTCGACCTTAAATTCCTCCAAAACTATGATCCCAGAACAATTGTCTTCAATTGTCAGTTAAGTTCAGAATTGAGACAATCGTGACGAAAGTATAATAAAAGTTTCGCCCTAAGTTTAGAAGCTCTAAAAAAAGGTGAAGATGAATTTGATTTCCAATGAATTGTTGAGATCGATCGTATTCGTTAAGGAATTAATGAAAGCTGTGATGAAGATAACGATACAGTGTCAAGTGTAAATCACAATATCGATGCCCCACAACATTTTAATAATTCAATATATTCGTGAGGAAATCTAATAATTTCACGTATTATCTGTAAGATACTCGTATGCGCAGAATCATTTCGAGTTGATTCGAAGCTGGACAAGCAACGGTGCCTTCTCGAGCAAAATTTTCCAAAATTTGTAAATTGTTTTTTATTATTTATTTATATATATACGATTCACTCGACAAAATCGGTAAAATATCGGTTATTGCTGGCGAGTCGATCGGCGAAACTCGATCTTTTATTTTCGTCCGATCAGCCGAAGAATCGTTTCGAATTAATTCGCAAAGAATCAAAGACAAGCAACGGTATCTTCTCCAGCAAAATTTTCCAAAATTCGTAAATTATTTTGTATTATTTGTTCCGTTTATTCGATTCACTCGACGAAACTCGATCTTTCGTTTTCAACCGATCAATCAAAGAATCGTCTCGAATTTCGCAGAAAACAAGCGACGGTATCTGCTCGAGCAAAATTTTCCAAAATTCGTAAATTATTTTGTATTATTTGTTCCGTTTATACGATTCACTCGACGAAACTCGATCTTTCGTTTTCGACCGATCAACCGAAGAATCGTCTCGAATTTCGCAGAAGACAAGCAACGGTGTCTTCTCGAGCAAAATTTTCCAAAATTTTCCAAAATTTTCCAAAATTTATAAATTGTTTTGTGTTATTTATTCCGTTTATACGACTCACTCGACAAAATCGGTACAACATCGGTTATTGCTGGCGCGTCGATCGGCAAAACTCGATCTTTCAGCCGAAGAATCGTCTCGAGTTGATTCGCAAAAGAGAAGCAACGGTGTCTTATCGAGCAAAATTTTCCAAAATTTGTAAATTATTTTTTATTATTTATTTATATATATACGATTCACTCGACAAAATCGGTAAAATATCGGTTATTGCTGGCGAGTCGATCGGCGAAACTCGATCTTTTATTTTCGTCCGATCAGCCGAAGAATCGTCTCGAGTTGATTCGCAAAGAATCGAAGACAACGGTGCTTTCTCAAAATTTTCCAAAATTATTTTATATTATTTGTTCCGTTTATACGATTCACTCGACGAAACTCGATCTTTCGTTTTCGACCGATCAACCGAAGAATCATTTCGAATTAATTCGCAAAAAATCGAAGACAAGCAACAATATTTTCTTGAGCAAAATTTTCTAAAATTTTCCAAAATTTGTAAATTGTTTTGTATTTGTTCCATTTATACGATTCACTCGACGAAACTCGATCTTTCGTTTTCAACCGATCAACCGAAGAATCGTTTCGAATTTCGCAGAAGACAAGCAACGGTGTCTTCTCGAGCAAAATTTTCCAAAATTTTCCAAAATTTTCCAAAATTTATAAATTATTTTGTATTATTTATTCCGTTTATACGACTCATTCAACAAAATCGGTACAATATCGGTTATTGCTGGCGCGTCGATCGACGAAACTCGATCTTTTATTTTCGTCCGATCAGCCGAAGAATCGTCTCGAGTTGATTCGCAAAGAATCGAAGACAACGATACTTTCTCGAGCAAAATTTTCCAAAATTTGTAAATTGTTTTGTATTTGTTCCATTTATACGATTCACTCGACGAAACTCGATCTTTCGTTTTCGACCGATCAACCGAAGAATCGTTTTGAATTAATTCGCAAAGGGTCGAAGATAAGCAACGGTGTCTTCTCGAGCAAAATTTTCCAAAATTTGTAAATTGTTTTTTATTATTTGTTTATACGATTCACTCGACGAAACTCGATCTTTCGTTTTCGACCGATCGAATTAATTCGCAAAAAATCGAAGACAAGCAACGATTTCTTGAGCAAAATTTTCCAAAATTTTCCAAAATTTTCCAAAATTTATAAATTGTTTTGTATTATTTATTCCGTTTATACGACTCACTCGACAAAATCGGTACAATATCGGTTATTGCTAGCGCGTCGATCGGCGAAACTCGATCTTTTATTTTCGTCCGATCAGGCGAAGAACGTTGCTAATCACGCGGCGAAATTTACACGCGGATATCGAGAAAAGTTTGGCACGGATGTTGGAAATTTTCGAGGGGATGTCACGTTCGCCTCTTGCCACAAGCCTCGCCAAATCGTTTCGTAACAAGCGCTTGTTAAAGTAACGAGAAATATATATATAAGATAGGCAAAAGGTGAGAAAAGTTTCTCTATTTTATATTTCTTTGCGAAAAGAGACAAGACGAATATTCCAAGTACGGATTGATGAAAAAGCTGTGGAGAGAGGAACAGGGAGGATCTTTATAATCGCGTACTACGAAATAAGTCAGTACCAGAAAAATATAATTAATAAATGTATTATATATATATATATATATATATAATATATATATATGTATATATATATATATGTATATAAATAAATTGATGGAATTGATTGCAATTTCTGCGGGTTAATAAGAGTCGTCCTCGTGAGGAGGATCGTGAAGTGAAATTAAGAAACCGCTGGGAGGAATAATGGGAGGGGGATGGGAACGAGGACAGGAAGAAACGGGGTCAACACCGAGAGCGCATCGAGAAGTGGAGGAAGAGTTTTGTGGGACAGGTCAGGATGCGTCCATGACGGTAACGATTTCGGGTCCGCGTTCTTATCTGTTGTAACCAGCAGCTGATCGATCTGATCGAAATCATGAATAATTAATAAATATTCCAACGAAATCTTTTCCAATATTTTGGATAATAAATATTCATAGTATAATATTATCGTTGTATTATTACATCCGATGTCGCGTTTAATATTTAACGTTTAAAATGCGTTTTAAAATGTTTTGAATAGTTTTACTCCTGACTCTCCTATTCTCTTTTTATTTTTTCCTTCTTTTTCGCAAAAATAATCGATTATTTGTCTCAATATATGTATAATGAAAATGAAACACCGGCAACACCTGGATCTCGTTACGACCGCATTAAATCCAATTAGATCAGATATGCAAAATGATCGAAACTTCGTTAAATCAAATTATAAACGACGAATCTTGAATTATCTTCACCAGCGTTACGTTTACCGTAAAAATAGATCAAGAACAGAGGAAACCGTGAAGATGAACTCGTGTAACCAATAGTATAATCGATTAAGGAAGAAAGACAAGGAAAGATTATTACATCCGTTATTTCGCCATAAAAATTGCGATCGATGGAGTCTCTCTTATCTCGAGATAATAGAAAAATAGGATTCTGAATTTTTCCGCGTACGGAATAAAAAGAATAAAAAAAAGTATTTTCTCTTCCTTCGAAAATTTCGCTCGCAAAATTGATGATGTTCGAATATCGAATATCGAATTTCCGTATACGAGATCGTTTGTCACGAAAGGAAGCATTTATAAATCGCGCGATCTGCAATTGATTGGAATAATTACACCGATAACGAATCAAGAACGATAGTTGATCTTGTTCTTGGAGAAAGAACTTGTAATAATTTTTTTTTATTTTATCCCGTTTTATTAATAATACAGTTAAGGAGGATTATTTTTGCGACGCTCGATCTCGTTTCAAAAAGGAACGATGGCTCCATACGAATAATAAAAAGCTAATAAAAATTACTCTTTCTCCTTTCGAGCTGGCGCGGGGATTTAATTTTTAGAAAGCAGTGCCGCTTTTTATTGTAATTTATTCGGATGATAGACATTATTGAAGAAAAATTAAAAATCACTCGTGTTTCAGAGATCTTGAAATCGCTGTGCAACGACTTCCTCCCGAAAAACGTGTCGGCCATCTTGTACCTGATGAACTACGAGAAGTACGGGCGCAGCACGGCCAGCGCCCAATACTTTCTCCAGCTTGCCGGTTACTTGGGGATTCCGGTGATCGCGTGGAACGCGGATAACTCGGGATTGGAGAGAGTGAGTGAGATGCAAATGTGTCCTTTCCGTCCCTCGTGCTTTTCCACGGAGAAAGGAGGAGAGGGGGAGGAAAGAGCACAGCGTCGCTTTAACAAAATTGTTCTCCGATCTCGTATACTCGAAACGAGCGAAGATGGAATATAAAAGCTTTCCGCTTTCGATTTTAAGATGGAATTTCTCCCGAATTGTTGCGTTTCTCGGATATTTTTACATCGTTTCGAGTTTGTCCATTTCCTTGTTTCGTTTCATTCCCATCCGATATTATCTTTATTCGTGCGTGTATATTTTTTTAATTTTGAAGAATTTTTAGCAGTTTTATTTCTCGTTATTACTTGATTAATATTCGATATATATGGGTAAATGGTTTAATTTGCTTCGATGATTTATCACTCAATTGGATCGATTCAGAGGTTCAGTTTATATATGTAAAGGATTCATTATTTTATATATTTATATGTGAATTGAATAATCATCGTTTCCCCTTTTCGAACCGTCGCATAATGGTTCGAATAATAAGAAGCTAAATTATTCTTTCTCCTTTTGAGGAAATCTCCTTAAACAGAGATTTAATTTTTAGAAAGCAGTGCCGCTTTTTATTGTAATTCATCCGGATATATTATTAAAGAAAAATTAAAAATTCAATCAGTATAGAATAAAAATAAAAATACATAATCAAATATTTGCGAAACCCTTAAATAACCAAAATATCTACAAGGAAGATGTATTATAATTAGTTTGAAAAGCGCTTCGAATTTCACGAACATGCGATAAATCAAACCTTGAGAATTGGAAATGGTCCAATTTCAAAGAAACGAATGTTCGAACGTAAAGCTTAAACAAAGAAATTATAATTAATATGAATTACTTAACTTCAAGTTTAATTTACAAAAAGAAAGCAAGAAAACTTATTGATTTAAATTAAAATAGATATTTCGAGATGTATCCGTTATAATCGTCCATCTATACAAAAAAGAGTATTTTAAAATTTTAACATAACTGTTACACGTGGAACCAATTATTTATCGCGTTATTCGAACCACTGTGCGAACCACGTAACAAACAATTCATTTCCTCAATTAAACATTTCCCTAACTTCTTTACTTCCCCCGACTTCTAAACTTCTCCCCAGAACGTTCCCACGTCATTTTCGTGTCATTTCCTCGCGTTCGTAATTGGAGGTGGAATGGCGTCGTTGCAGAGGGCGTCGCAGAGTAATCTGCAGTTACAGCTGGCGCCATCGCTGGAGCATCAAACGGCCGCCATGCTGAGCATCCTCGAGAGGTACAAGTGGCATCAATTCAGCGTGGTCACCTCGCAGATAGCGGGCCACGACGATTTCGTGCAGGCGGTTCGCGAGAGAATATCCGAGATGCAGGACACCTTCAAGTTCACGATATTGAACGCGATCCTGGTCACAGATCCGCGCGATCTCATGGAATTGGTGAACAGCGAGTCGAGGGTGATGCTTCTGTATTCGACCAGGGAGGAGGCCATCGGGATATTGGGCGCTGCCCACGATTACAAAATCACGGGGGAGAATTACGTGTGGGTGGTGACGCAGAGCGTGATCGAGAATCTCCAGACGCCCAGCCAATTTCCAATCGGAATGTTGGGTAAGCGAAACTAGAGATTTTATTTTATATATATATATATTAAGTAAATAATAATTATTATAATATAATAATAATAATAGTTAATATATATATTAAGTAAATAATGTAATAATTGAAGAAGAAATTTTTCAGATCTGACAAAATTTTTAAATTTGAAATTTTAAATTTCCACTTCGCTTTTTCCCGCCCGTGAGATAACTCGATTATCTCGAATCGAGATGATCCCTTTCGCGAAAAGATCTCCGTTGGAGCGTGTACCATAGAACGACGTGTTTCCGTCGAAAACAGAATTCCATGAATTTATTTTCCCTTAGAAGGGTGGCGACCCAGAACGGTGGAATCTCCAGGAAGGCATCAATTCCCGATTTCCGTGATTCTTACCCTCCTCCTCCTCCTCCTTCTCGTTGAATCGCCCTTTCAATAACTCGAGGCATCGTGAAAATTCTATTCTGGAAAGAGAACCGAGGAAAAATTTCGAGTATTATTATATCGAAATTAAAAATTTCGAATATTATTATATGAATCAACGTGTTGAAAATATACCTTCATCGATCGTTTTTCTTCTCTTTCTTCTGTATCTTCTTCCATATCTCTCTGCTCATCTTGCATAAGTTCGATTTATAAAGCCGTTTAAATGCGAAATCTTTTCCATCTTTCGCACGAATAACAATTAAAGAGAGATTAAAAATTTCCTTTCAATCTTTTTCTCTCTCTTCATCTCCTTTCCACTTGATTTACATCCCCTAATACTTTTTTATGGATGTACATCTCGAGCCAATGCTCGAGTGACAGAGAGCTTCTTCAATTCAATATTTTCACGCGAAGAAGAAGAAGAAGAAGAAGAAGGAGCGAGGGACGAAAATACGAAAGGAGGAACAAAAGGGAAAAGAAAGGAAGGAGAGGATTGCTCGCAAGAGATCGAAGGAGCTGGGAATATTGACGAGTATTCCGCCAATTTTTTACCCGCGTCCTATTTGTACCTGCGAACTCATCGATTTCCAAAGCTTTCTCCCCCGCAGCTAACGCGCGCACAGGGATATCGTGTATCGTCGATATCGAAGCCAGAGAATGGAAACGGAGGAGCTCAATCTCTAGATGTGAATAAAATATTCGAGGGGAGGAATTTGTTTTGGAAATATGACTTTTCGAGATAAAAAGGAAAAGAAGGGAAATTCTTTAAAGCTAATGGAATTAACGAAATCATCGTGTCGATATTTTCTATTAATGTAATTTTTGGTAGAAAGCTGTAATTCGTAAATTCTCATGATGATTTAAATAATCTTTCACAACATTAATGTTACGTTTATATGTAAATTATAATACTATGTCAAAGGGAGGAAGAAAACAAGTTTAAGTTTCTCCAGAGTATTTTTGAATACTCGATCAACGAGATTGTTTCGGGAAGAATTTTAATTATTAATATTTTAACTATTATATTTTAATAACATTTTAATTATTAATATTAAGTATTATATAAATTATAACATTACATCAAAGAAAGGAAGAAAACAAGTTTAAGTTTTTCGAGGGTATTTTTGAATGTTTGAATACTCGATCAACGAGAATACTCGATTATTTCAGGAAGAATTTTAATTATTAATATTTTAATTATTAATATTACATAAATTATAATACTACATCAAAGGGAGGAAGAAAACAAGTTTAAATTTTTCGAGGGTATTTTTGAATGTTTGAATACTCGATCAACAAGAATACTCGATTGTTTCGGGAAAAATTTTAATTATTAATATTAAGTATTATATACATTATTATATATATATAAATTATAATACTACATCAAAGGGAGGAATAGAATACAATAAAATTTAAGTTTCTTTTAAGGGTATTTTTGAATACTCGATCAACGAGAATATTCGATTGTTTCAGGAAGAATTTTAATTATTAATACTTTAATTATTAATATTAAATATTATATAAATTATAATACTACATCAAAGGAAGAAAGAAAACAAGTTTAAGTTTCTCCAAAGTATTTTTGAATACTCGATTAACGAGAATATTCAATTGTTTCAGGAAGAATTTTAATTATTAATATTTTAATTATTAATATTACAATAATAAATTATAATACTACATCAAAGGGAGGAATAGAAAACAACAAAGTTTAAGTTTCTCTTAAGAGTATTTTTGAATACTCGATCAACGAGAATACTCGATTGTTTCAAGAAGAATTTTAATTATTAATATTTTAATTATTAATATTACATAAATTATAATACTACATCAAAGGGAGGAAGAAAACAAGTTTAAATTTTTCGAGGGTATTTTTGAATGTTTGAATACTCGATAAACGAGAATACTCGATTGTTTCAAGAAGAAATTTAATTATTAATACTTCAATAATATTTTAATTATTAACCCTTTGCTCTCCAATGATAACTCTCTATCACCACTGGGATTGTTGCGTCAACTTGAACGGCGACAATATTTATTTATATTTGATTCTTTTATATCATAAATAGATTCCTAAATCCTTTATGTATAATCTTATGAGATATAATCTTATCTTATGGTAATCTTATGAGGCCACCGAATACATCTGAGTCTGGAATTGCTGGTTCGACCGAGCGAAACAGAGCTGGAATGCAAAGGGTTAATATCAAGTATTACATAAATTATAACACTACATCAAAGGGAGGAATAGAAAACGACAAAGTTTAAGTTCCTCTTAAAGGTATTTTTGAATACCCGATCAACGAGAATACTCGATTGTTTCGGGAAGAATTTTAATTAAATCCATTGGAGCGAATTCCTGTCCAATGGGCCGACCTGTCCTTCCTTATTTTCCCCCTCAGCTTCCATTCACCGAATGCAATTCCACTTGTGAAAACTGTTCTCGAACGAATGTATCTCCTTTCCCCTTTTGATTGTTCAGGTGTGCATTTCGACACGAGCACGGAAAGTCTGGTGAACGAGATCACGACAGCCGTGAAAGTTTACGCGAACGGGGCCGAGAATTTCTTGAACGACCCGGCGAACAAGGATCACACTCTGAACACCAAGCTGAGCTGCGAGGGAAGGGAATCCCGGTGGAACACCGGGGATCTGTTTTTCAAGTAAGACAAACGGATCTCGATCGATCCTCTCGATAGATTTTCAAAAAAAAAAAAAAAAAAAAAAAAAAAGGAAGGGAAAGGAAAAAGAATTCGATCGAAATTTGAAAATTTGATGATACGAAGGTAGCGAGTGATAGTGAAAATTTATATATTCGATCGATTAAATTAGATTGGAAGATATGATAATCGCGTAACATTTTGATAAATCGAGTTAATATTGGTTAGAAATTATAATTCTCCCTTTGTCTATTGTTTGTCCGAGTCACGATTCGATTAATCGATGAATTTATCGAAGATAAATTCTGCGATTCACGGTCAAAGAGAGGAAGGAAACGACAAGTTTAAGTTTCTCGAGGGTATTTTTGAATATTCGATCAACGAGAATACTCGATTGTTTCGGGAAAAATTTTAATTATTAATATTTTAATTATATTTTAATTATTAATATTAAGTATTATATAAATTGTACATGAAAGGGAGGAAGAAAACAAGTTTAAGTTTCTCTAGGGTATTTTTGAATGTTTGAATACTCGATTTCGATGCGAATAAAATCAAAATTACAGAGGGATAGGATGTGAATAAATTGATTAAATTCTTGCAAATTCTTGAAATTATACATTTTTCAAAACGAATTTGTTTCGAAATAATTTCCTTGAATTATTATATTATCCTTGAATTATTCATAGGGGAAAAGTACAATATAAGTAAATCGTGCGATCAACATTTATTTGATCAAAAGATTAGAGGATCTTCGAAATGGAATTATTCATAAGGAAATAGTATAATATAATAGTATTAACTTAAATAATACGAATACAATAAATATAATATAAGTAAATTCATCTGATCGAGAGATTAGAGGATGTTTGAATGGAATTATTCGTAAGAAAGAAACATCTAAACATCTAAACTGCATCCTTTATAATGAAAATTCTAAAATTTCTGTTCCCTTCTTACGAAAGGAAAATTCTGGAAAATTCTGGAAAATTCTGGATATAATTTGATGAAAACTATATTCAAAGGAGAATGGCATTTCCTCTCGGTCCAGGTACTTGAAGAACGTGTCCGTGGAGGGGGACCAGGGGAAGCCTAACGTCGAATTCACCCAAGATGGCGTTCTGAAGTCGGCCGAACTGAAAATCATGAATCTTCGTCCCGGGTTGAGCAAACAACTTGTTTGGGAGGAGGTGAGTGAAGGAAAACGAAAAAACATCTCCATCCTTTCTCGCCATCCACGGAATTATTCCCGTCCTTGCACGAGTTTTTCGCGTAGATCAGCGAAACGAAAGCAAAACGTGGAAACCGAACGACTGCGGGAGAGCAAAGAATCCAAGTTGAAAAATATTAGTTTCTCTTAAAGGGAATTTGGGAAGGGAAATAAAAATTGAGAAAAAAGAACTCGAATTCCGACATTGGAAGAAAGGAAATTTAGAGAGACTTCATTGTTACGAAGAATCCTTTCTCTTCACTTTCTATATTATACATCATCGTGATCATCCTATTCTATTTTGTTTATTCAATTTACATTGCTCGACGATGATTTATTCTGCTTGTAATCTCCTTTAAAAATATTCAACCCAAGGCAGAAAACGAAAAAGAATTCGATCCTTGCTCGTACGAACACGATACACCCTCGTTTCCCTGTGCAATTCAATCTATCACAATTGCGCTTGAAAATTCATTCTTCCCAATAACGAAAACGCTTAACTGTCGATCGATCAAATATATGCTCGAATATGCTCGAGGACGATCATATAACACGATTTAAGAAATTGAAATCGAAAGTCGAAGCGTAACACTCTCTTCGATCGAATCTCCCCTCGTTAAGAACGAGGTTCCATCGATCTTAATGAGAATTTAAACAATTTATTCCTAAACATCTTTATTCCTTTAAACATGCATTCACGAAGATCCCGTGAATCGATGCGACAAACCGTTTCGATAACAAGGGGGGGGGGGGGGGTAGGAGAGAGGGGATCACGTCAAAATATTATTACACGCTGGTTTGGATTCACGAAGGGGATTTCACAGAGGGGAAAGTTCGTTTTCTAATGGATGCATTTGACGTTTAATTAACGTCCGGCTTCCTATTGATCGAGAGCATACGCCCCGTATCGATTCTCGATTCGCGCGTTTTCGCGGGTTCACGCGCCAATTGTCATTCCCGTTACGATATAATGACATTCCCGATGCAAAGAGGATCCTGAATTGAAGCTCGAGTTTCGATCGAGGCGCTTTGGCGCGACATTAACGGAGATAGTACGAGTCTCTATCGTTTTTTAGAAAATTTTCCATTCCATTTTCCTTTCGTTTGAATAGATTTAGATAGTAGAAATTGATAGTTAATAAGTAGATTTTACATCTTTCAGAAGTGTAGAAATTTTTCACGTTTCCAGTTTGAAGTAGATTTAGGGGATGGTAGGAATCGATCGATTTGTGTAATAAATAGATTTTAGATCTTTCAAAAATGTAAAAGTTTTTCATCTTTCCAATTTGATTAGATTTAGAGGATAGTAAAAATTGATAGATAATAAATAGATTTTTCAAAAGTGTAAAAGTTTCTCACCTTTCCAGTTTGACTAGATTTAGGGGATGGTAGGAATCGATCGATTTGTGTAATAAATAGATTTTAGATCTTTCAAAAGTGTAAAAGTTTTTCATCTTTCCAATTTGATTATATTTAGAGGATAGTAAAAATTGATAGATAATAAATAGATTTTTCAAAAGTGTAAAAGTTTTTCATCTTTCCAATTTGACTAGATCTTAGAAGATAGTAGGAATCTTTGGATTTTGGTTTGATTTGTGTAATAAATAGATTTTACATCTTTCAGAAGTGTAAAAGTTTCTCACCTTTCCAGTTTGACTAGATTTAGGGGATGGTAGGAATCGATCGATTTATGTAATAAATAGATTTTAGATCTTTCGAAAATGTAAAAGTTTTTCATCTTTCCAATTTGATTAGATTTAGAGGATAGTAAAAATTGATAGATAATAAATAGATTTTTCAAAAGTGTAAAAGTTTCTCACCTTTCCAGTTTGACTAGATTTAGGGGATAGTAGGAATCGATTGATTTGTGTAACAAATAGATTTTAGATCTTTCGAAAATGTAAAAGTTTTTCATCTTTCCAATTTGATTAGATCTTAGAAGATAGTAGGAATCTTTGGATTTTGGTTTGATTTGTGTAATAAATAATTTTGGATTTTGATTTGTGTAAGAAATAGATTTTACATCTTTCAGAAGTTTTTCATTTTTCATTTAACTAAATTTAGGAGATAGTAGCAATCGATTGATTTGTGTAATAAATAGATTTTAGATCTTTCAAAAGTGTAAAAGTTTTTCATCTTTCCAATTTGATTAGATTTAGAGGATAGTAAAAATTGATAGATAATAAATAGATTTTTCAAAAGTGTAAAAGTTTCTCACCTTTCCAGTTTGACTAGATTTAGGGAATAGTAGAAATTGATAGATAATAAATAGATTTTATATCTTTCAGAAGTGTAAAAGTTTTTCATCTTTCCAATTTGACTAGATCTTAGAAGATAGTGAGAATCTTTGGATTTTGGTTTGATTTGTGTAATAAATAATTTTGGATTTTGATTTGTGTAATAAATAGATTTTAAATCTTTCAAAAAAGTTTTTCATCTTTCCAATTTGATTAGATTTAGAGGATAGTAAAAATTGATAGATAATAAATAGATTTTTCAAAAGTGTAAAAGTTTCTCACCTTTCCAGTTTGACTAGATTTAGGGAATAGTAAAAATTGATCGATAATAAATAGATTTTATATCTTTCAGAAGTGTAAAAGTTTTTCATCTTTCCAATTTGACTAGATCTAGAAGATAGTAGGAATCTTTGGATTGATTTGTGTAATAAATAGATTTTAGATCTTTCAGAAATATAAAAGTTTTTCACCTTTCGTTTGACTAGATTTAGAGGATAGTAGGAATCGATCGATTTGTGTAATAAATAGATTTTAGATCTTTCAGAAGTATAGAAGCTTTTCACCTTTCCAATTTGACTAAATTTAGAGGATAGTAGAAATTGATAGATAATAAATAGATTTTACATTTTTCAAAAGTGTAAAAGTTTTTCACCTTTCCAGTTTGACTAAATTTAGAGGATAGTAGAAATTGATAGATAATAAATAAATTTTACATTTTTCAAAAGTGTAAAAGTTTTTCATCTTTCGTTTGACTAGAGGATAGTAAAAATTGATCGATTGTGTAATAAACAGATTTGGGTTTAGAGCATTCACGCGCCAATTGTCATTACGATATAATGATATTCCCGATGCAAAGAGGATTCTAAATTAAAGCTCGAATTTCGATCGAGGTGCTTTAACGCGACATTAACGAGCAACCTCTAGAAAATTTTTTATTTTTCGAAAAATTATTACGCCTTTTAGAAAATTTTTTACTACTTTCTTTTGATTTAGAAGAGAATAGAAATTGATCGATTTGCGTAATAAATAGATTTTACATCTTTCAGAAGTATAAAAGTTTTTCACTTTTCCAGTTTGACTAGATTTAAGAGATAGTAGAAATTGATAGATAATAAATAGATTTTACATCTTTCAGAAGTGTAAAAGTTTTTCACCTTTCCAATTTGACTAGATTTAAAGGATAGTAAGAATTGATCGATAAATAGATTTTACATCTTTCAGAAATTTTTCACCTTTCCAGTTTGACTAGATTTAAAGAACAGCAGATATCGATCGATCTGCGCAATAAATAAATTTTACATTCTTTCAGAAGAAAAATCCTGGAAGACTCTCGATTCGATTTAAATCTCGACGAAAAACTCGCATCTCCAATATCGTCTTTCATTCGTTCACGAACGAATGAGCGAGTGAACAATTGACGAATTCATCTTCGAGCGCCACCACCACTATATTCAAAAATCTCGAACGCTTCGCCGCCAAGCTTTTCTCCGTCCACGTCCGACAATCGAGCATCCCATCCGCACGTTTCGAGCAGAGTTTAATATTCGAAACGCGCCCTCGATTCCCCTCCACCTTTGCCAAACACGACTTCCTCTGCCCGTCAAAGCTCGCGAAGCAATAGCTGTTCGCGGGGGGTCGGCTTCGGCCCGTGTTTTTCGGATCGGCCGAGATTAAGAAAATCTCTCGCGCTTTCGGGGACATGGAAAGGATAATCCTAAGGTGGAACGTGGCAGTGAAAGGACTGCTCCTCGTAATTCTCTCGCGTTTAGATGAAGCTCCTATTTTTGGGCGAGGTTTGTCGAAAGACCAAGTTTGAATTTTTTTTTTTTTTTTTTTTTTTTTTTTTTTTTTTTTTTTTTTTTTTTTTTTTTGGTTTTGGATCGAAATCGTGCTCGAAAAACTCATAGATTGCTTCGAAGAAAATTGTTATCTTGGATTGTTATCTTGGATTGTGTATAGTGTGTTTAGTTATTGGTAAGTGATAGGGGTTTTGTTTGTATTTTTTTAATTCGTTGGTAAACAAATGAGTGTGTAGAAACTGCTCGACAATTTTTCTTTCTTTGCACTTTCTCACTTTTTTTTCTCTCACTTTTTCTTCGTGTCTCTTCTCTATTTTCACGGTTGCGCAATTTATTTCTCGCGACCGGATCGTTTTCTGAAGTAGCGTTCAACCGTGCGTGCAAACGTGTACGTTTGCCATGGGTATAATTTTCATTTCTCTTGGAAATTTAATCGTCAGATTTATCGCGCCGATTTCGCCTCCTTTCTCTTCGCCTTGCATAAACTTTGAATTCTCTCGTTTCGCGCCTTTTTGACAATCGACTCTCGGCGAGGATTAGGAAATCGTTTCGCTTCTTTTTCCTCCGTTTTTTTCGTTCGCATTCGCCATTTCCTCCTCGCGTTCATCAAGTGTTTCAACCTCGTGGAAATTTTCTTCTTCTCGAGTACCCGTCGAGCGAAAAAGTATTTCGAGTATTTTATTTTTTAATTTTAATCTCGATTACACGAAATATGATCATGAAATTTCCAGAAATTTCGTGGAAATTCTCGAGTTATTCGTCCTCTACACGAGCAAAATTATTTCGAGTTTCTGTCTTTTAATTTTAATTTTGATTATACAACATGATCACAAATTTCCAGAAATTTTATGGAAATTCTCTTTTTCTCGTGTATTCGTCGTCATTTGTACGAGCAAAGGTATTTCGAGTTTATTTTATTTTCAATATTTTCAAAAAATTGTCCC